TTGAGACAGTCTTGTAAATTGCCCAGGGTAGGCTTGAACTTTCGATCCTCCTGCCTCAGCCTACAATAGTGCTGGGATTGTAAGCCCGTGCTACCACACCTAGCCAGATTTTTGTTGTTGTTGCATTGTCATAGAATATATGTAACATAAAAATCTAGCCTTTTAACCATTTTTAAATGTACAATTCAGTATCATTAAGTACAATTGCAGTGTTGTGCAACTATTACTGCTATTCATGTTTTCCATCCTCCCAATCTGACCTGTGTTAAACAGTACCTCCTCATTAACTGAAAAATGAGACCTCATTTTCCTATAAGGCAGATCTGTCCAGGGACAAAGCTTTAATACTATGTAAATTTCAGCTATTTCTCTCATTTAGTCCAAAGCTTCAATACTATGTTCCTTGGCTGTCCTCAGTACCTTAGCTTCAGAGCCTTTGCAGGGCAAATTAGTCCATTCTCATTGGTCTCTCTCTTCTCTTTAGATCCTTGAATTGTAGTTTCAGGAGGGGGAAGAAATGTGAGGGAATCTGCTACATTTAACCAAAAGTCTAAAATTAATTCAAAAATTGTCTGTTATGGTTTGTGTCTAAATGTCCCCTCATAGGTAGGGCTTTTTCACAGGTGGCTGAATCTAGAATGTGTGATGCTGGGATTAAGGGTGTGTGGTTACTAAATCAGTCCACTGATTGGTTTGGCACCACCCTAGTCCTTGTAGTCTGGATAGCATATAAAAGGGACAGAAAGAAGTTCCTAAGGCCTCTTGCTTGCTTTGCTACCTTCTGCCCACCATGAACTGTTTCTCCTCTACTATGCCTGTCTGCCATGCCACCCTGCCTCGGAGCCAGCTGATTATGGACTGAAACCTCTACAGTCTGTGACATAAATGTTTCCTCCTTTAACTTCGGGTATCAGGTATTTTGTCTCAGCAGTGAGAAAAGTAACTAAGACAGAATTTGGTACCAGAGAAGTGGAGTTGCTGCTGTGACTGTACCTGACAGTGTGATTCAGGAGCCTTTGAGGATGGCCTGTGGGAAGAGTTTGGAAAGGTTTGGGAGATGCTGGTTGAAAAAGTAGAGCTCAAATGCCATAGGCTGTATTTGATGAGGTTCTGGTCAGAGCTCTGAAGACCAGAATGCTGACAGAAATGCTGTTGGTAAAGACCAGGTTCAGGAGGTTCCTGCTGAGAGGAACTTCATTGGCTGTTGGGCTTCAGACAGTGTGTGTTGTGCCTTGGCTGAAAGTTTGTCTGCATTCTGCTCGTGTCCAGATACTTTGCCTGAGACTGAGATTAAGGGCAGCAGACTGATTTATTTTATAGACATGTGAACAATTATTTTGACATATGGGTTTACTGGTTTTGTTTATTTATAGTCATTTGTTTTATTTTTTAAATTTTTATTTTTTTAGTACATGTTTGCAGTACATAATGATTATATTCATGTGAGGATTTGGTACATGTACACAACACACATCTTAATTCTTTTTTTTTTTTTTTGGTACTGGGGATCGAACTCGGGAACTTGCGCTTGCGAGGCCGGAGCCGGAACCACTGAGCTAAATCCCCGGCCCACATCTTAATTCTTTTTATGTCCCCTTTCTCTCCCCTCTCTCTCCCCTCCATCTCTTGGTCCTCTTCCCATTTGCAAAAGATTATCTCCATCTTTCCTGTAGTCTTTTATTTTGTCTTTATTTCTACGTTGGGTTTCTCATAGAAGAGAAGGTTTGCAGTATTTAAGCTTGTGTGTCTGATTTATTTTACTTAACATTATTTTTTTTTCTTTTTATATTTTACTTAACTAACATTATGGTTGCAGTATGCATCCATTTTCCTTCAGATGACTCACATCTGTCCTTTCTGCCAGAGTAGTATTCCATGGTGTATAAATACCAAATTTCCTTTTTCTATTTATCTGTTGGGCAGATAGGCTGCTCCCAAGATTTAACTATTATGAGCTGTGCTGCTATAAACATAAGTATGCCTATCACTATCATAATGTCTTTAACCCTTTTGGTAAGGTATCTAAAAGGGAAATAGCTGGGTTGAGTGGAATTTCTAGTTTTAGTTTTTTTGAGGAATCGCCATACTGATTTCCATAGTGATTATATCGATTTATATTCCCACCAAAAGTATGAAAGAGTTCCTTTTTCCCTGCAGCTTCTCCAGCATTTGTTATTTGATTTTTCTTTCTTTCTTCTTGGTAGCCATTCTTTTTGGAGTAAAGTGGAATAATATCAGTGCTGTTTTGATTTGCATTTTTCTTTTTTGTTGTTGTTTTTTGGTGCCGGGAATTGAACTCAGGACCTTGCCCTTTCAAGACAGGTGGCAGCACCACTGAGCTAAATCCCCGGCCCAGTTGCCCATTTTTTGATTGGGTCTTTTATTCATGGAGGAAGTCTTAATTTTTGGAGCTGTTTATATATTCTAGATATTAGTCCTCTGACATACAGCTGGCAAAAAATTTTTTCCCATTCTGTAGGTTGTCTGTTCATTATTGGTCATTTCCTTTGCTGTGCAGAAGCTTTTTAATTTGATATGATCCCATTTGCTGATTTTTTATTTTATTTCTTATGCAATTGGGGTTTGTAAGAAAGTTCTTGCCTATGCCTATATCTTCAAGAGTTTTTCCTATTTTATCTTCCAGCAGATTAAGTATTTCCTTTTTATCTTATTTTATTTATTCTTGGTTCTTTTTTTTTTTCGTGCCGGGGATCGAACTCGGGACCTTGCGCTTGCGAGGCAGGCGCCGGAACCACTGAGCTAAATCCCCGGGCCTATTCTTGGTTCTTTTGAAACAGGATCTTGCTGTGTAGTTCAAACTGGGCTTAAACTCACCATGTAGCCCAGGCCGGCCTCAAACTCACAGCTATCCTCCTGGCTCAGCCTCCAGAGTGCAGGGATTACAGGTGTGCACCACCACGCCTGGCTAAGTATTTCTCTTTTAATATAATATAGGTCTTTGATCCATTTTGATTTTATTGTAGTACAAGGTGCAAGATATGGGTCCAGATTTAGTGTTCTGCATGTGGATAGCCAGTTTTCCCAGCACCATTTGCCAAAGAGGCTATCTTTCTTCCAGCACATGTTTTTGGCCCTTTATCAAAGATGGGATAGCTGAATGTACCTGGGGTTCTTTCTGCATCCTCTTTCTGGCCCACTGATCCATGTCTGTTTTTGTGCCAATACTGTGCTGTTTTTATCACTGTAGCTTTATAATATAACTTAAAATCCAGGATTGTGATGCTTCCTGCTTTGCTTTTGTTGCCCAGGATTGCTTTTGCCATATGAATTTTAGGATTGTTTAGCAAAGCAAGAACCTCTGTGAAAAAAAAATTTTTTTAATTAAAATAAAGTTTCAGGCTGGGGATTTAGCTCTGGTTTCGCCGCCTGCTGCTCAGGCACAAGAACCTGAATTTGATCCCCGGTACCAAAAAAAAAAAAAAAGTTCCAAGGAGTGTATTGAACAGGAGGGATGATAGTGGGCATCCTTGTCTTGTTCCTGATTTTAGAGGAAAAGCTTTCAGTTTTTCCCATTTAATATGGTGTAGGTAGTAAGTTTGTTATAAATGGCTTTTATCGGATTGAGATAAGATCCTTCTATACCTATTTTCTTTTTTTCTCTCTTCTTTCATTGTCGTTTGTTTTTTTGTTTTGGTTTGGTTTTTTTTTTAAGTGTATAGTGACACATATCCACCCTTCTGTGTAGTGTCATACAGAGAAGTTTTTTTTGTTGTTGTTGTTTGTTTTTGGTACCAGGGATGAACTCAGGTCCTTGTGCTTGCACAGCAGGCAGCGGAACTACTGAGCTAAATCCTACTGAGCTAAATTCCCGGCCCTATTGTTGTTTGTTTTGGTTTTGGTTTGGTTTGGGTTTTTTGAGACAAAGTCTCGCTATGTAGTCTAGGCTGGCCTCGAACTCATGGCTTTCCAGCCTCTCAAGTGCAGGAGTTACAGGTGTGCACCACCACATCTGGCCTTCTGCGCCTATTTTCTTCAGAGTTTTTATTATGAATGAATGTTGGATTTTGTCAGTGGCTTTTTCTGCATTTTTGAGATGATCATGTGAATTTTGTCCTTCTGTTTGTGTGATGTATTACTTTTATTGATGTGCTTTTTGTTCTTTTGAGACATGGTCTTGCTGTCTAGTTCACACTGGCCTCAAACTCATAGTGATCATCTTGCCTCAGCTTTCCCAGTGCTGGGATTACAGGTGTGAATTACTGTGCCCAACAGTGTATGATCTTTTTGATGATTTGTTGCATTCTGTTCAGCAGTATCTTGTTGAGGCTTTTTGTGTAGTTTTCTTTTTTAGTTGAATCCTTGTCCTGTTTTAGTATCAGAGTAATACTCCATGAATGAGTTTGACAGTACTCCTTCCCTTTGAATTTCATTAAAGAATTTGAGGAAATTTGACCTTTGATCTTCCCTGAAGTTTCTGTAGAATTCATTACTGAATCCATCAGGCATTGAATTTTTACATCAGGTGGGGTTTTTATTACTGCCTCGATTCCATTGCCTATTTTTGGATTATTCAGGGTAGTTATATCTTTTTAGGTCAGTTTTGGTAATTCATATGTATCTAGGAATCTATCCATTTCTTCCAGATTTTCTAGTTTTTTGGGTTTTTGAAGTAGTTACTAGTAATCTTCTGGATTTTGGTGGTGTCCGTTGTGATTTCACCTTTTTTGTTTCTAATTGCATTGATATGGATCTTATCTTTCCCTTTTTTGGTAAGATTGGCTAAGGATTTGTATATTTTCTTTATTCTTTCAAAGATCTAGCTCTTTGAGTCTTTGTATTATTTTTTTAATCTCAATTTCATTGATTTCTGCTTTGATCTTTATTACAGGCATGTGCCAGCAGACCTGGCACCATGTATATTTAGAATAGATTTTCAAGTTTCTAAAGACAGAGTTTTCCGTAGCCCAGTGTACAACATTCACATTCCATTTTGCTCTGTGATAATTAGAAAACAATTTTATTTCCTTCTCATCGTTTAGTGGACGGAAGCGCAGTCCATGCAGAGAGTGTGATCCTGACCACTGGGACATTTCTGAGAGGCACGGTTGTGATTGGACTGGAAACGCACCCTGCAGGGCGCCTGGGGGATCAGCCTTCCATAGGGTTGGCTCAGACTCTGGAGAAGTTGGGGTTCGTGGTGGGAAGGTTAAAGACTGGGACTCCGCCCCGAATTGCCAAAGAGTCCATTGATTTCAGTATTCTAAACAAGCAGACACCAGATGACCCATCTGTACCGTTCAGCTTTGTCAATGAGACAGTGTGGATTAAGGTGAGTAATTTGCAAAGCCTGGCTTCCTACTCTGTATTGGCTATTCACTGCAGGAGGTAGCTTAACCATTTCTTTTTTTTGGCAGTTTATGTTATTACTTGGGGTGCAAAGAAGTGATCTTTAAAAATAGCTAATTTGGCCACTCGGGTGTTTGCCTATCTAATTGTTAAATTTCATCACTTGAATAGCTTTACCTTTTTTTCTTTTCTTTTTTTGAGACAGGGTCTCACTGTGTAGTTCAGGCTGTCCTTAAATGCACTATGTAGCTGCAGTGCATTCTAACTTGCAGTGATCCTCCTGCTTCAGCCTCCAAGTGCTGAGATTATATCTGTGCACCACCATGCCCAGCCTTTTTTTAAATTTTTTGAGAAAAGCCTGCCTGTGTAGCCCACACTGGCCTCAAATTCACGATCCTCAGGCCTCAGCCTCCCAGGTGCTAGGATTCCAGGCTGCACCACTGCTCCCAGCTTCACTTTACCTATTTTTGAAATAATTTCAGACATACAGAAAAATTGTAAGACTATTAAAACAAATTCCTATCAACCATGGAAGTTGCCCATTTTCAATATTTTACCATATTTATCACCATATATATAGATATTAATGTATATATTGAATGTATAAGGCAGTAATACAAGCCAGGTAGAGAATATAGCAAGTTCCAGGCCAGCCTGGACTACACAACAAGATTGTCTCACCAGCCATGCTCCAGCCAAAAGATAGACAGGAAAACATGTACTTTTTCTCCTTAGCATTGAGAGGAGGTTGCAGAGATCTTGAGCCTATACCTTTAAATATTTCAGTCTGTAGCTTAGCTACACACAAAGACATGTTATATACCCTCAATACTGTAGTGGAATTTGGGGAATTTAACACTAATACAGTGCTTGTTATGTAGTGTAAGATCCATAGTCTGACATTGCTAATTATTCCAGTATTGTCCAAAGTGACTGTCCAGCCCCCTCCCTCTCTGTCCTTCTGTCTCCCATTCCTTCTCCTCCCTTTTCTGATCCTTCTCCAGGGTCTCCCTGACTGGTTTTGAACTCAGGCTCAAATGCACTTCCCTCCCAAGTAACTGAGACTATAGGTGTCACTACCTTACTTAGCTGCCATTTTTCTTTAATCTCTTTACTGTAGGGCTGGGGATTTAGCTCAGTGGTTCCACCACCTGCCTCACAAGCACAAGGTCCTGAGTTCGATCCCCAGTACCAAAAAAAACCAAATTAGGTAACAATCTCTTTAATGTGGAACAGTTCCTCGGTTTGCCTTGTTTGGGGTTTTTTTTTGGGGGGGGGGGTTCGCGGTACCAGGGATTGAACTTGAGACCTTGTACTTTTGAAGCAGGCAGCGGCACCACTGAGCTAAATTCCCATCCCCCGGTTTGCCTTGGTTTTTAGGAAAGTGTTTTGTTCGCGGGGGGTGGGGGGTGTCTTTGTTTTTTGAACAGAGTCTTACTGTGTAGTTCAAGTAGGCCTTGAACTCACTGTCAGCATCCTGCCTGGGCTTCAGTGCTGGGACTACAGCCGTGCACCACCACACCCAGCTTCCGTTTGTTTTTTTTTTCCTCTTCCAGAACTGGGAATCAACTCAGGACCTTGGGCTTGCCAGGCAGGCATGATATTACTGAGCTACATCCCCGGCCCTTTTTTTTGAGTTTAAAAAGAAAAAAAAGGTATATTTCAGCATTTGTTTAGAATTGAACATTGTTTATTAATGGTAAATATCCTGATGATTCACTTTTGTTTTGTTCTGGTTTTTGAGAGAGTTTGGCTTGGTAATTCAGGCTGGCCTTAAACTCACTATGTAGCCTAGGCTGGCCTTGAACTCATGGTGATCCTCTTGCCTCAGCCTTCCTAGTGCTATGGTTACAGGTGTGTGCCACCACACCTGGGTCCTATTTTGATTTGTTTTGTTTTGTTTTTGAGATAGGGTTTTTCTCTGTAATTCAGCTAACTTTGAACTTGTAGTGATCCTCCTGCCTCAGCTTCCCGAGTGCTGGGATCACAGGCATGTGGCACCCGGCCTGGCTAAGTATGTATCTTTTTAAACTTTTTATGGTAAATTTTCAGTTTGACACAAAGTAGGGAAATAGTATAGTGAATCTATGTATCTGTCATTTAGCTTCAACTAATAACATTTTGGAGCCAGGCATGATGGTCCACACCTATAATTCCTCACTCAGGCTGCTGAGGCAGGAGGATCACTGCAAATTCCAGACAAGCCTGGGCTACAATGTGAGTTCAAGGCTGGCTTGAACTATATAGGGAGGCCCTGTCTTAGAAAACACAACACTCCAGGCATGGTGGCGTGTTGTCCTAGTATTTGGTAGGCTGAAGCAGGAGGATTGCTGTGAGTTTGAGGCCAGGCTGGGCCCTATAGTGAGTTCAAAGCCAGCCTGAACTACACAGTGAGACCCTGTCTCAAAAAACATAAAAAGGGTCAGGGATGTAGCTCAGCAGCATAGCACCTGCCTGGTAAGCACAATGCCCTAAGTTCAATTCCTGGTACCAAAGATAAAATAAAATCCACCTTAAAAATGCAAAAGAAAACAATAATATTTTGTTATTATTGTTTCATTCTTTGCTGAATTTTAAAGCAATAATTCCACATATCACATCATTTCACTTGAACTTTCATATATGTTGCTAATAAAGAGGAGCTTTTTTAAAAAGCCACACCAGGCCAGGGATTTAGCTCAGTGGTTCCACCGCCTGCCTCAAAAACGCAAGGTCCCGAGTTCGATCCCCAGTACCAAAAAAATAAAAAGCCACACCATATCACACCCGACAAAACATTTCTTTTCTTTTCTTTTTTTTTGGTACTGGAGATCGAACTTGGGTCCTTCCGCTTGTGAGGCGGGCGGCGGAACCCCTGAGCTAAGTCTCTGGCCCTTGACAAAACATTTCTTAACATCATCTAGTATTCAATGTTCAGTTTTCCCTAACTGCCTCATTCACTCATTCATTCATTCACTTATTTTGCGGTGCTGAGGATTGAACCCAAGGCCTTATGCTAGGCAAGCACTCTACCACTGAGCCACATCCCCAGCCCTTTTAATTTTATTTTGCAATAGGATCTCACTAATTTACCCAGACAGGACTCAAACTTGCGATCTTCCTGCCTCAGCCTCTCAAGTAGCTGGGGTTACAAGCATGTGCCATGCCCTGCTCAAAAGTAATGTTTATAGCGGACCAGGGATTTAGCTCAGTGGTTCTGACGCCTGCCTCGAAAGTGCAAGGTCCCGAGTTCAATCCCAGTACCAAAAAAAAATAATAATAATATTTATAGTTGTCTTATGTGGACCAGGAACCAAATAAGGTCTGTTGGAGGATATGTTTTATAACCATTTCCTGTTTTCTTTTGAACATTTATAAATGGAAGAAATTGAGGCATTTGTTCTGTGGAGCGTCCCACGGCCTGTCTGATTGCATGCTTCTGGTGCCACTAACCTCTTTGCTCTAAACTGGTGGTTACATCTGGGCTTGCTTACATCGAGATTCATCTTTTGGGTTATTTTTGGCAAGAAAGCTTCCCAAGTAGCACTGGACACTGCAAATGTATTGTCTATTAAAGATCTCGTGGAATGTACTTGGATAAGGGGCAACAAGTAGAGAAGCGAAACAATACAGTCTGTGGCTCTGGTTGCTGTTTTCAGCCAGAAGATCAGCTGCCCTGTCACCTTACTCACACCAATTCTGCAGTGGATGCCATCATCCTCGAGAACCTTCACCTCAACAGTCACGTGAAGGAAACTGCAAGCGGACCCCGGTAAGGGCAGGCGATCGGTATTCGGTTACTACAAGGAGCGACATCAGCCTCTTTGTTCATTTTATTTTTTTCTTCAATGTCTTGCCCTAGATATTGTCCCTCCATTGAATCAAAGGTTTTGCGTTTTCCAAACCGCGTCCATCAGGTTTGGTTGGAACCTGAAGGAATGGATTCTGATCTCATCTACCCGCAAGGGTTATCTGTGACGCTGCCAGCTGAGCTACAGCAGAAGATGATCTTGTGCATCCGAGGCCTGGAGAAGGCGAAAATGGTTCAGCCAGGTAAGGGCACAGCCACCCTCGCCTCCATGTCAGCGTGGCCTCACTCATGCAGTGAGGGCCTTAGCCGCTCTGAGAGGCTCGGGGCCTCAGAAGAGGAACCAGCATTTTTCAAGGGCAGTTAGTGGTAATCTGCATCTCGGTCTTAGGGGAATCCATCAGTTTTCACTTACTTCGTGCTGTTTATTCTTTGGTCAGGCTACGGTGTTCAGTACGATTACTTAGATCCCCGGCAGATCGAGCCTTCCCTCGAGACCCACTTGGTTCAGAGGCTCTTCTTTGCAGGACAGATCAACGGCACCACTGGTTATGAGGAAGCTGCAGCTCAGGTAAGAGCGTGTTCGGGTGGCGCTGTGAACCAGAAGGGACTTCGTGCCTGGGGCTTCTCTTCTCCTGGCTGCTGGTTAACTGTATCAATCTGCAGTAGAGGACAGCTTGTGTCCAGGGCCTATGACACAGGGAGGTAGGATTTTTAAAACATGTGGCTTTTTTTCTTCTTTTTTTTTTTGCTGGTGGTGCTGGTACTGGAGTTGAACCCAGGGCCTTCATTAAGATACATTGTAGACCTTTTTCCTTTTTTTTAAAAAAATTTTGAGATAAGCTCTCACAAAGTTGCCTGGGTTGGGCTTTAACTTGAAATCCTCCTGCCTCAGCCTCCTAGAGTACTGGTATTACAAGTGTGTACCCCGGTACCCAACTACTTGTGGCTTTATTACTCTTTTCTGAACTCCTAGATCTGACATCTTTTTTAAAAATTGTTCAGTACTGGGGATCAAACAGAACGTGCTGCCACTGAGCTATATTCTCAGCCCTCTGATTGATTGATTGATTGATTGATTGACTGACTGATTGATTGAAACAGGCTTGCTGACTCACTAAATTGCCCAGGCTGGGCTTCAGTTTGTAATCCTTCTGCCTCAGCTTCCCGTACTGCTGTGATTACAGGCGTAAGCTACTGTGCCCAGCCAAATACCATATTTTGACTAGATTTATCATATTGCTTCTGAAGTTTCTAAAGAAAATTTAGTTCTTTTAACATAACTGCTTTATTGAAAACTATCATCATTATAAATAAATTGTTTTTATTTGTGAGAGAAAGCTAAAACATCTCACAGGTGGGTCTTAGATAAAAGATGGCTTTTGAGAAATGTTAGCTGTTTGTGGGAACAGTGAATCATAGCGGAAATGCTACACTGCCCATGTTCTCTTTCCAAATATGGATCCCATTTTCTGGGCTCACTTTCCTCCTGTCTCGTGCCGCCCTGTCCAGACTGTGTTCCGGGTAAGACAAGAATTGCTCAGCTCATGATGGCATCTTAAACATTCCAGTCCTCTTGTAGGGTGTGATAGCCGGAGTCAACGCCAGCCTTCGGGTCAGTCGCAAGCCCCCCTTCATTGTTAGCCGTACGGAAGGCTACATAGGTGTCATGATCGATGACCTCACCACCCAGGGCACCAGCGAGCCCTACCGCATGTTCACCAGCCGCGCTGAGTTCCGCCTGTCACTGCGCCCAGATAACGCCGACAGCCGGCTCACGTTCCGAGGTGACTCCACGCGCCTGCAGCCCAGCTTTCTCCTCATGAAAACCCCTCTCACTCCCACATATTCTCTCCTTTTCTAGGCTATGAGGAAGCTGGCTGCGTGTCCCAGCAGCGGTACAACAGAGCGGCCTGGATGAAGTCCTCCTTAGAAGAAGGCATTTCTGTGTTGAAATCTATTGAGTTTTCAAGCTCCAAGTGGAAAAAATTAATCCCACAGGTTTCTATAAGTACCAGTAGAAGTCTCCCTGTCAGGTGTGTATTTTTCATATAACCTCACTTTTCGCAGAAAATTAGATTATTTCAGTGGGACCTCACCTACAGACTCCCTACCTACACATTTTTTTTGTTAAATTCTTTTATTGGTACATTTTAGGTATACAACACAATTACATTTCTCATTGGGAATTGTACCTTTACATTCTACCTACACATTTTAAGTGACTGTCACTCACTCTTGGCTTCTTTTCAGAAAGCTTTAGATATAACTCAGAAAACTTTAGATATAACTCAGTAAACTTTAGATATAACTCAGTACTGGGGACCGAACTCAGGACTTTGCACTTTTCAGGCAAAGCTCACTGCCACTGAGCTACATCCCAGGCCCAACTCACTTTTTTTTTTTGTACCAGGGATTGAACTCGGCACCTTGTGCTTGCAAAGCAGGTGGCAGAACCACTGAGCTAAATCCCTGGCCCAATTTTTTAAGTATTGAAAATATATATGGCTAAGGTACGCCTCAGTGGTAGAGCACATGCATAGCATGTAATATATATGCACACACATATATGTGTGTGTATACATATGGTATTTTTTTATTGGTGATTTTGTTTGGGGGGATTTTTTTCACTTTTTTGAGACAGGGTCTGCTGTGTAGATCAAGCTGAGCTTGAACTCACTATGTAGTCCAGGCTGGCCTTGAACTCACAGTAATCCTCGAGGCTCAGCCTCCTGAGTGCTGGGATTACAGGCGTGCACCACCATGCCCAGCACATGTATATATTTTAGATTCATATATATTAAATTATTTTCACTTTTTATATAATTTCTCTGTGGCTCTCTCTTGAGTCTTTTTGGTTTTTCTAAGATTTAAAAGACCCAAACTAAAGAAGTATCTGTTCTTGGGCTGGGGATTTAGCTCAGTGGTTTTGCTGCCTGCTGCGCAAGCGCAAGGACCCAAGTTCGATCCCTGGTACCAAAAAAAAAAAAACAAGAAGTATCTGTTCTTTTTAGTAGGCTTGGAGCAACTGTATGATCTTGTCTTGTCCATGAGCTAATGCAGGGAAACTCCTTTGAATTTACTTGCTCCACTTCAGATTTTTTTGTCCTTCTTTTTGTTTCCCAATTATATGAACTCTGAATCTAAAGGACTCTGTTCCTAAGGACTTTGCATAATGTCTAGTCAGGCCACCATACCCACATAGGACCTGGCTAGGATGCTTGAGACACTGTATTTGATCCCCCTGCTCCACAAAAACAAACAAAAAGGGACCAGGGATTTAGCTCAGTGGTTCCACCACTTGCTTCGAAAGCGCAAGGACCCAAGTTTGATCCCCAGTACCCAAAAAAAAGAGTAATCAGTCAAAAAGAAACAAAAAGCCCCAAACAAGAAAACCTTAGACTATGTAATTTAATTTTGGGGGTCTTTTGGTTTTTTGGTATTTTGAGACAGGGTCTCACACAGGCTGGCCTTGAACTCGCTATGTAGCTCAGGCTGGCCTCAAATTCACAGTGATCCTCCTGCTTCAGCCTCACAAGTGCTGAGACTATAGGTGTGCGCCACCACACCTGGCACCTGTGTAATTTATAAATAACAGAAATTGATTGTTCACAGTTCTGGAGAGAGAAAAGTCCAAGCTTTGGCACCAACATATGTGATGTCTGCTGAAGGAGTTATCTTTGTTTCCACACTGGCAACTTCTTTCTGCATCCTCGCCTGCCAGAAGCAACAGCAGGCTCCTTCAAGCTTCTGTGTAAGAGCACCAATCCCATTCATTAGGGCCAGCCACCTCTTAATATCACATTGGATTTTAGGTTCCAGTATGGGAATTTTTAGGCCAGAATCCAGTGTTCAGATATAGCAGTGACACATTTGCTGACTGGCTACATTAGTCAGTTTTCTGTTACTGTAATAAAATGCCTAAGGTTGAGGACTTACTAAGAAAAACATGTATCTGGCTCACTGTTTGGATGCTGCAAGTCTGAGGTTGGGCAGTCCCACCTCTGGCTGCCGGTGAGGGTATCATGTAGATGGCATCTGGGTGAGGGGGGCGCAGGTACACTCCTCTTATAACACTTCCTCTCATGAGAGCAGCGTCTGTCCCTGCTGTGGACCAGCACCCTGGGGACCTACCTGCCTCCCCCTGGAGATTTCACCCCCTCCACAAGCCCACACTGGGGACCACGCTGCCTGCATGGGAACTGTCAACCCATAGCTCAGCTGTGTGGCCCCAGGGTATTGGCACCAGGAAACAGCAGTCCTGAGCAGTTTACAATTACTCTGCGCTTCAGCTGTTTTTCATTTGTTTGGATTTAGAAGACTTCACATTATTTGAAAAACTGAACAAGGTTTTTTGGCTTTTTTGCTTTGGTTTTCTCAATGATGGGGACTCAAACTCAGGGCCTCACATATACTAGATAAGCACTATGTCACTGACCTATATGCCTATGCCCTGGACAAAGAATTTTTATCAATTACTTATCTATTTCAAAAAATTTTAATTGGTATCTGCATTGAATGTGATTAGTGGTTTTGTTTTTGTTTTTGTTTTGCAGTGCTAGGGATTTAACCCAGGGCCTTCCCACTGACCCCCAGACTTTTTATCTTTTATTTTCAGACAGGATCTCACTAAGGTGCTCAGACTCAGTCCTCCTGCCTCAACTGTCTGGTGTCCAATGACTACAAGCTTGTGCCACCACACCTGCCTACAAATGCACTTGAAAAGTTTGATAAGTGCTGGGATGTAGCTCAGTGGTAGAGTACATGCTTAGCATGCAGAGTGCTTTAGATTCAATCCCCGGTGCCAGAGAAATAGATTTTCAAATCAAGTCAAACTTGTATGTTTTCTTCCTGAAATTGTATGATTTGGGATCTTATATTTAGGTCTTTAGTCCATTTTGTATTAATTTTTGTTTGCAATGTGGATATCCATCATTCCCAGCATCATTTATTGAGATTTATCCTTTTGCCATGGTGTCTTGGGAGAATCATTTGCTCACATATGAAATATATAGCACAGTGTTTCTTGACTATCCTGTTCTATTGGGGGGAGGGGTGTGGACTTACAGAAAATAATTTGTGTTTTAATGTAAAAACTTACTGCAGTAAAAGACACATTGTCATTAATCTTCCTCAGAACACTACCCTTTATTATGAACACACTTATCCCATTGTTCTTGCCACTCTTTGAGGCAGTTCTGGAAGTTTTCTTTCATGTCTTTGCAACCTGTGATCAAAAATACGATGAATGAATGGGCCGGGAATTTAGCTCAGTAGCGCCACACCTGCCTTGCAAGCACAATGTCCTAAGTTCAATCCTCAGTACTGCAAAAAAAAAAAAAAAAAAAAAAAGGTGAATGCTGCTGCCAAGTCCCATCCAACAGAAAGGCAGGCTCATGAAATTACAGTGCTTTCTCATCCACCTTATTCACCAAATCTGGCGCTAAGGTAACTTCTGGCTCTTCCGTAAAGTCAAAATGCCTGTGAAAGGTAAACATTTTATATCAATTCAAGACATTTAGGCAGCCACAACACAACTAGGAAAATTCACAGAAGAAGACTTCCAGAACTGTTTCAGAAAGTGGCAAGAACAATGGGACAGTGTGTCCAAAGCGAGAGAATATTTTGAAGGAGTTCTTTTTTAGTGCTGGGGCACTTATTCCTGCTAGGCAAGTGCTGTATCACTGAGATACACTCTCACCTTTTGAGAGGGATTAATAGCATTATATCCTTTAATAACTTTTAATATAAATACTTAACTTTTTTTTTGTACTAGGGATTGAACTCAGGGCCTTGTGCTTGTGAGGCAGGTGGTAGAACCACTGAGCTAAATCCCCGGTCCTCTTAACGTATTTTTTAATCACAGTATATATAAAATCACTGTTGTGACTATTATAGCTTAATAATATATTTTCTTTCTTTCTTTTTTTTTTTTGGTACCAGGGATCAAACTCGGGTCCTTGCGCTTTGAGGCAGGTGGCAGAACTACTGAGCTAAATCCCCGGCAATAATATATTTTCAAATCAGAAAGTCTGAGTCCTTTGACCATGTTTTTATTTTGGTTTTGACGGGGAGGGCTGAGACAGAGTCTCACTGTATAGTCCAGGCTGGCCTCAAGTTCATATCCCAGGCTGGGCTCAAAACTTGTGACCCTTCTGGCCCAGCCTCCCTAGAGCTGGCATTATAGGCATGCATCACCATCCCTGGCAGACTGTGTTCTTTTTTCAAAATTGTTTTGGCCATTTAGGGTCCTTGATACTCCATGTGAATTTTAGGATGAAATGTTCTGTTTCTGCAAAAAATGCCATTGACAATACTTCTCCTAATACCTTTTAAAGAAATTACTACCCGGGCCAGGGATTTAGCTCAGTGGTTCTGCCGCCTGCCTTGCAAGTGCAAGGACCCGAGTTCGATCCCTGGTACCAAAAAAAACTAAACTCTGTCTAAAGAAATTACTACCCCAAAAAAGCCACATGTAAATGAAGTAATAATTAACAGAGTGAGCCCTAGTTAGAGTGGTATCTGGGGTCAAATTAGGATTGGAGGTGGGCGAGGGAAGACATGATCAGTAGAAGCCGTCCTGCTCTCGTTAGAGCACCAGTACCAAGCACCTGAGGTTCCTGTTGCCAGTCTGCTCTCCTCAAGTCTCACCTGCTCGACCGTGGCACTAGTCCTCAGGCATATTCTCTTGGTGACCTGTGTAGATTGTGTGGCAATGTCCGCCATATTTCTGATTCCCTTTGTTCATGCATTGTTCTCCCATCTCCTGCTCTCATCCAGGAGGCTTTAGCCCAGCCAGGGTGAGCAATAGAAACAAAAGGGAACTGTCAGAAGTTCCTATGCGGTAAAAACGGAAACACGTTATTCCAAATTAGAAGAAAAAGGGCCAGGGATTTAGCTCAGTGGTTCTGCCACCTGTCTTGAAAGCACAAGGTCCTGAGTTCGATCCCCAGTATGAAAAAAACCAAAAAACAAAAACAAATTAGAAGAAAAATCAGGCTGGAAAGATCCTTTTAACTTATGTATCATTTTTTTTATCAGTTTGTTTTCTAGAGGGTTAAAATGTGTTCACCGTGGCCTCATGCTTCCTTAAGCAGTTCTGTCAAGCAGGAGAGCTGGGCATGGTGGCAAACACCTGTCATGCCAGCACTCTGGGAAACTGAGGTGGCATCATCACAAGTTCAAGCCCAGCCCAGGCAACTTTGGAACTTAGCAAGACCCTGTCAGAAAATAATGTAGCTGGGCATTGTGGTACACGCCTATAATCTCAGCAGTGGAGAGGCTGAGGCAGGAGGATTGCCTCTTTAAGACCAGACTGAACTATATAGCAACACCCTGTCCAGGAAAAGAAAAAAAGAATATAAAAAGGCAGCTAGGGCCAGGGATTTAGCTCAGTGGTTCCGTCACCTGCCTCGCAAGCGCAAGGACAGGAGTTCGATCCCTGGTACCAAAAAAAAAAAGAAAAAAAGCAGCTAGAGATGTACTCAATGCAAAGGCCAACAATCCGTAGTACTGTTTAAAAAAAAAAAAGAAGTGGGCCAGGGATTTAGCTCAGTGGTTTCCCCACCTGCTGCGCAAGCGCAAGGACCCAAGTTCGATCCCCGGTACCAAAAAAAATAATAATAATTTAAAATAAAGAAGCAAGAGACCTCCTTTATGGTTCCCAGCATGCAAAAGGATAACTCTTCTGTCCTTACACAGAAGGGAGAACAGGGCCGGGGATTTAGCTCAGTGGTTTCATCACTTGCCTTGCAAGTTCAAGGACCCGAGTTTGATCCCTGGTACCAAAAAAAAAAAAAAAAAAGGAGAACAAATGCATTCTAACCACACATCCCACACCAGCCGCATAATTTTCATGATAGACTGGAGGGAAATCAACCATCTCTTTTTTTTTTTTGGTACCGGGAACCGAACTGAGGACCTTCTGCTTGAGAGGTAAGAGGCAGAACCACTGAGCCAAATCCCTGGCCCTTGGAAGGAAATCAAATATTGAATCTTTTGAAGTCGTACTGTTTTGCAGGTGCTGCATTTGCTCGCTGTACTTGGGTAAAATTGAGATATCTTGGTTATTTGTTCTGAGATTTGATTATTCCAAAGAAGCTTGTTCTTAAGCTGCCTTATGTAAAGTAGATCCTTCTGTTAATGAAGGTTTTTTTTGTTTTGTTTTGTTTTTTTGCAGTACTTGGGATTGAACTCAGGACCTTGCACTTGTAAGGCAAGCGGCGGCACCGCTGAGCTAAATCCCCGGCCTGTTAATGAAGCTTTTGTGTATTTTCAGAGCTCTCGATGTTCTGAAGTATGAGGAGGTTGACATGGAGTTATTGGCCAAGGCTGTTCCAGACCCCTTGAAGAAGTACACTGAATGTAGAGAGCTAGCTGAAAGACTGAAAATAGAAGGTAGGAAATAATTTCTTAAGTTTCCTGTATGTTCTTGCTCCTGTTTGTGCAAATTATGAATGGACAGTCGATCCATTAAGAGCTGTGTGCCAAGAGCCGAATGTGGTGATGCAAACCTGTAGCCCCAGCACTCAGGAGACCGAGGCAGGAGGATCGCCAAGAATTCAGGGCCAGCCTGGCCTACATAGTGAGTTCAGGACCAGCCTGAACTGCATAGCGAGACCCTGTCTCAAAAAAAAAAAAAAAATCTGTGCAGCAGGGGAAGCCCCATTCCTGTAGGACCAGCACGGCGTCGGGCTCCTTCCAGCAGCGCTGCACACCTGGGAGCTTGTCAGAAGTGCATGTGTCGGGCTCCACCTCAGACCCATTGAGAATCTACATTTCAGCAAGACCCTGCGGTGATCATGTGCATATGATAGGCTTGGGAAGTGCTACTGTAGAGCTCTCTTTAAAAAGAATCTAGTTTTTTTATATTTGCCCCATCCAATGTTTGCATAAGGAAAACACTAATATTACTGACCTTCGGCTTTGACAATATGCTACAGTATTCTACCTTTGAAGATTTATTCTGTGTCAGCTCCAGTACATTGTAACACATGATGCTACAGTGCTCAGTTTATTGACCATCAGAGCCACAGTTTTGTTTTCTTTTACACTGCTATTTCAAGTTTTATGTTCTGAAGAATTTCAGACACAGAGAAAAATACTGAGAATAAGATTGGCTACTACACCCAGCTGGCTTCTGCAAAACTTGATAAAAGGTTTTCCTTGACTTAAAAAGTCATGTAATGAGAAAGACACAGCCAGGCTGTGGGAGAAGGGTGGGAAACAATGGGTGATGGTGTGCTATTCATACAGAAAAAGAACCCAAGCTCCTGCAGTCCAGTCAGGGCCAGGCATGGTGGCAAATGGCTATAACACCAGCACTCGGGAGGCTGAGGCAGGTGAATCGGGAGGCTGAGGCAGGTGAGTTCCAGGCCAGCCTGGGCTACACAGTGAGACCAGCCAGGGTGGTGAGAATGTTTTCTTTCAGCTCTGCAGAGATTTATCACCTTACTATACGAGATGTACAGGAGGACCTAGTGTACCTGCCATCCACCATGAAAGTTTACATAAGTCTAACAACAAACTGTGGTGGTGAACTTCTGTAATCTAAGCACTCTAGGAGGCTGAGGCAGGAGAATCATAAATTGAAGCTCAGCCTGGGTAATTTAGACCCATCTCAAAATAAAAATTTTGTAAAGGGGGCTGGATGTTGTGGTGCATGCCTATAAAAGGTAGGGGGGCTGGTTTTCAAATTGCTCCCTAGCTCTGTCCACTGGACAAGTTTATTTTCTTGGGGGTTTTTTTGTTAGTTTGGTTTGGTTTGGTACCAGGAATCAAACTCGGGACCTTGAGCTTGCAAAGCAGGCACCAGAACCACTGAGCTAAATCCCCAGCCCTTGTTTTGTTTTTGTTTGAGACGGGGTCTCGCTATGTAGCCCAGGCTGGCCTCAAACTCATGGCAGTCCTCCTGCCTCAACTTCCCAGGTGCTAGGCTTATAGGCATATGCCACCATGCCATTTAGACAAATTTACTGAAGGCAGAAATATGTCAGATTATATTATTCTTCTTGTTTTGCTACATATATTTGAGATAAAGTAAATATATCTATAGCATAGGCATTACCTCAAATATTCCATGATATCCTGAAGACTGTTCCTAGTCATAAAATGCTAACTTGCTATATTAATGTGTTACAATATTGTGCTGTACAGTTCCTTTTAGTGCATTACTTCAGTTGATACTTAAAAATGCCCTGTGAAGGACAGACTAGCAGTTTTGCTCTAACTGCACAGGTAAGTAGTGACAGATGACGCAGCTGCTGAGCGACACTGCTGGGATTTGGACCTCGGTTGTCTGGCTTCAAAGCCTGTGTCCTGTGCAGTTGTCCTTGCAGCCTTCGCCCAAGGAC